GATAGTTCTGAGGAGAGAAACAGAGTAAAGCATACATGGCATAATAAGTGCCGATTGTAGAGAATCAAAATAAACCACAACTGTAATCAATTGGCCATTTTGCTGGCAAAGTGCATTTTTATTAACCTGCAAATCAGCTGCTTTGTGAAGACTGACTGTTTTGCATGACTACTCAAAATAAGTACGAACTTTATGTTTTCACGAGATGAGTTCATTTTCTTCCTTCTCTCAGACTGTAGGATGACTTTTACTGTGATGCATATTTGCCGAAACAGGGAGAAAAATGGGATGAAGAATGCTGAAATCATGGTTTAAAATCCTTGTTCATAAGTTCTACATGAGGTTCGGGTATCGTCGCATTCACATTTGACTCAAGAAATCTGCAAATAAGGTTGCCTTGTCCAAGTGTTCTATTATCAAAGTGTGCACCACACGTTGGAGATTTGACAAGACCCGATGTGGTTTTGAGCCAAGAATATTTGCTGCCGTCAGTCTGAGTTCATCCAGTTTTCTTGGTTTAAGGTGGCTCGACTGGATTTTTCGGGGTTGATACCTCCCAAGTTTGAGCATTAACTACGTCGGCATGAGTAAAGATATCGAAAAAAGGTTACCACAATTGTATTACATAAAGATGAAAATTTGTTAAGATCTGGGTTTTATCGCAATCGGAGTCGCCATGGCAACGTAATGATGCCATTACGTTTTTCATTTATCCTTGTGTTTCTCTGTACCAGGAGTTTTTTGAAGAAATCGCTTAAGGGAGTATGTACCTGCCATAATTGCCTCCATTATGGCAAAGTTTAAAGAAATTCTATGAGAGCGTTTTCGAAATATTTTGAAATACACTTTTAAGAATCATAAAAACAGTGAAATAGCGTGCTAGCCGCTCAATTCGCTAATATATTAAGAAAATGATAAGCTTTGGGAACGCGGCTTCATCTCATAGTGGATTGATTCCATTGAAAACTACATACAAAAAAAGAGGGGAAATGCTCTGGGCGATCGCGAGTAAGAAGAATTTTATCAACTTGCATTCAGCTGCTTTTGATACAGTTTTTGGAGGTAATTTGGTCCATGCCTAAGAATTTCGCATTTTTCCAAAAACCGCTCGATAAATTTTTTTATAAATTCGACAATTCCCTGATCAATCGTCAAGAAATATTCCCTGCAAGTTTTAAGAACATTGAAAACCGGGAAGGCTTTTAAATAGGGACTCAAACATAACCAATTTTCCCCCCAGATTTTGTGTTTACAAGTGAGCGTCTTCATTATTCACTGGCATTGTTTTCAAGTTTCATATGCACGTGCACAACCAGCAAAAAATATAAATTTGCATCAAAAAGAACTCTCGATTACTTTCCGAAGAAATATCCGGTATATGCTGATAATTGGCTTGTCGTCACAGATGTAGGATGCAATACTTAATTATCTTACTCGGGTTATAACATCACAGAAACTCTCACAAAGAGTTGCTCTGATGTTATAATGTATCACTAACCTCTTTACCCGGTAATTAGCATATCCCGAAGATTTAACCGAGGGTCCTTTTTGATGCAAATTCTATCTTTTTGCTAAATGTGCACGTGTATATGAAACTTGGAAACAATGCCAGTGAATAATGAGGACGCTCACTTGTAAACACAAAATCTGGGGGGAAAATTGGCTATATTTGAGGCCCTATTTAAAAGCCTTCCCTGTTTTCAATGTTCTTAAAACTTGCAGGGAATATTTCTTGACAATTGATCTCGGAATTGTCGAATTTATAAAAACATTTATCGAGCGGTTTTTGGAAAAATGCGAAATTTTTAGGCATGGACCAAATTACCTCCAAAAACTGTATCAAAAGCAGCTGAATGCAAGTTAATAAAATCCTTCTTACTCGCGATCGCCCAGAGCAATTCCCCTCTTTTTTTGTATACAGTTTTCAATGGAATCAATCCACTATGAGATGAAGCCGCGTTCCCAAAGCTTATCATTTCTTAATATATTAGCGAATTGAGCGGCTAGCATGCTATTTCACTGTTTTTATGATTCTTAAAAGTGTATTTCAAAATATTTCGAAAACGCTCTCATAGAATTTCTTTAAACTTTGCCATAATGGAGGCAATTATGGCAGGTACATACTCCCTCAAGCGATTTCTTCCAAAAACTTTTGGTACAGAGAAACAAAAGGATAAATGAAAAACGTAATGGCGTAATTACGTTGCCATGGCGACTCGGATTGCAATAAAACCCAGATCATAAGAAATTTTCATCTTTATGTAATACAGTTGTGGTAACCTTTTTTCGATATCTTTACTCATGCCGACGTAGTTAAGGCTCAAACTTGGGAGGTATCGCCCTAAAAAAATCCAGTCGAGCCACCTTAATGCACTCCAGAGATGAGGCTAAAACTGACAAACCTTCCAGTGATATGGGGTTGTTGCTATGTTTAAATTTCGCTTTCTTTTGTTTGAAACTCACTATCATACGTTCCCATACCCCAAAACAAAAGGAAAATAAAAATTTAAACCAAGGATAAAATTTAACCACAACATATACACAGTGTGTAGCTCGCTTTTCCTTCGCGTGGCTCATATCGGATCTTTGCTTAAAGAATGAGGCGTACACAGTATGTAGCGCGCTTGTTCCTTCGCGTGGCTGATGTCCAATCTTTTGCTTAAAGAATGAGGCATACACAGTGTCTAAGGCGCTTGTTCCTTCGCGTGACTTTTGTCAAATCTTTGCTTTACGAAACTAATAAGATGCATTTTCCACTTGACACCTCTGTCGAGTCAAGACAACTTGTCCACTCGAACGACTCGACAACTTGGGGCCTTTACATTTACATGGAGGTGGGGGACCCCAGGTAGGTAAGGTATCCAGCGGTGGGTCACCCCCCTATTATGTTAACGTTATCAAATTAAAATGAGAGATTATATCGACAGTCAGGTTACCCCAGCAAAGCGGCCAGTTCCCTCACCTACCTGGGGTCCCTCACCTTCATGTAAACAGGCCATTAGATGCCGTCCCTAGTCAACTAATGAGATAATGAGATGCATTTTCCACTCGACAACTCTGTATGTCAAGTCACAACAACTTGTCCGTGTTGTTAAGTTGTCAAGTTGTGAAAAGTATTTTTCCACTCGTATCATGTCGACAGTATTGGATCTGACTGTCCAAAACCATACACAATTCCAGACCAAAATGGGCAAAGTCTATACCCGTTTTCAGACCATAATGGTGCAAAAACCATACCATTTTGGGGTGGCACACAGCAACTGGTTTAGATCAAATGTGCTATAAAATCCTCAAGCTGTCACTTAAAAGTTTAGAATTTTCTGATGACTGGAACTTGGCAAAAGTTTTCCCTGTGTTCAAAGCAGGTGAATGTAAAAATCCAAACAATTATAGACCAATATATTATCAGTCTTATCAACCGTATCCAGGGTCTTTGAAAAGCTAGTCTATGAGTAAGTCTACCACTATTTAGTTATAAATAACATATTAGATCCACGTCAAACTGGCTTTAGATCTCTTCACTCAACAGTAACCTCCCTTCTTGATCTTGCCATTCAGTGGTGTTCTAACATGGACAGGGGATATAGACAGGGGAGTGGTTAGTGGAGCTGCATTTCTGGACCCTAAGAAACACATTGAATAACACATTGGTAACACATTGATAATCGCAACATCTTGGGAATAAAATGTGACAAACTCAACCTCCCTAAATCGTTGGAAGGATATAAGAAAAACTCCGAATATCTTAGGGCCAGGGCTGGGTCTTAAACGAATTGCACGGTTACACAGACATTTTTTACCTTTCTGGAGTTTTATAAATTTCAAGTCATTATTTATATCTTCATTGTTTGATTTTTCTTAATCTCAAATGCAGACCCTTATCATTTTTGTCTATTATAAATAGTTTGATCATAATCTGTAACCGTCACTTGGAAATGTATGTTGACTAGCATACTAAACGTCAAGATTATACAAAAATGGGAAAGTTGACAATATTAATCACTGCTGTTTTTGCTTTATTTTTTATTAAGCTACGATTGCCCAGGAACAATTAAGTCTTTAAGAGCCATTCACCCAAGGGTAAAATAGCTAGTGAATCCGCAAATATTGAATGACCATGGCTGTAGTTGGGAGTGATAGGGTAGATGGAGATAACAACGTTAGATTCACTCAAGATGTTGAAGCCCTTTTTAGGGGGAACTAACTGGGTTTTCACAACAAACAGATGATTCTTGGGTTCAACTGGCTCTTCTTTATTCTTTAGCCAACTGGTACGAAGTTAGCTGAACTCCTACTCCACAATTTTCTGCCTATATTTGATTGCTGTTCCCATTTTGTATCAACCGAACAACCAGCTGCTTGAAATAAACTAATGCTGACGTAAGTCTTCTGTGATTGGTTGCATTAGACCCTCGCGATGTGTAATTTGTTAAAGTGCTTTTAACCGCTTCTACTTTTCTCTGTGAAGCTTTGGTTGTCCAGTCAGTATAAAATAAGGACAGCAAGATAAAAACTATATATAAAGAACTTATTTTGACATGAATGTTTGACAATAACAAGAGAAAAGTATCAAAATTACAGTTCAGAAGTTTCTTAGTTGTTGTTGAAAATCCAAGAGGTGTTAATACGGAATCCATCAGAAAATTGAGTAATTTCAATTTTCAGTGGACAAAAACCTTGTACCAGAATAATTTAAACAATATCGCATTCTTTTTTACATTTTTCAAGGGCTATAGATGTAATTAGTTATCTGTAATAACACCAAAGAAAATTTCCTATAAGAGCCTGAGAAAATAGATGTCAAATTTCACAAAATGTCGACATCTTACATATGAAATTTTCTGAAGTTTACCTTTGTTTTCACAATTCTTGTGAAATTTGATATTTATTTTCTCGGGCTCCCATGAGAAATAATCTTTGGTGTCATTACAGATAAATAATTATATCTATAGTCCTTGAAAAATGTAAAAAAGAAGCGATATTGTTTAAATTATTCTGGTACAAGGTTACCACTGAAAATTGAAATTACTCAATCTCCTGATTGATTCCGTCTTAAGCTTCTAGAAAACGGTTGATTAAACTTTTCCATGCATTATTTGATAGCGTGTTCGTAAAATCGAGCGTCTAATTGAAAATAGAGTATGTGGTCAAAAGTGGAAATAGCAACAATAGATGTTTACTCAGCAAGCACCTTAAATAGGAAATATCTCGCTCTTTGTAGTTGAAATATATTTTACTTTACGTAGAAAGTATTTCACAATTATTCCTCGAGCCCGAATGGGGTCTGAGTCAACAGCCCGTGAAGGCGAAGGCGACTCAGAGACCATGAGGGCGAGAGGAAAAATTGTTTTAGCAAAATCCAACTAGTTGGTTAAAAATATCTAGACAAAACAACTTTAACAAGCAAAACTCGATTCAGCTGCCATTGTTTTGGTTTTCAAAGCCGGCGCTTTTCGCTACTGGTGGTATTTTCAATGGAGTTACTAGAATGGGGCGCACATTTTCGGATCAGAACGCAGCGTTGATAATAGACCACTAGTTGGATTTTACTAATGACTGATATGAAATCGTTTGAAACTGCGAGGAAATACATTAAGGCCAAAGTGGTCAAAAATAAAAAAGGTAGCCTTTTCCTGGAAAATACTGACAAAAGGTGGAGTTGAGGTCAAAAATGTCAAACTGTGTAATATTCTTAATGTAAATAAGGCCTTTCTAATTTGGGAAACTTAAATTATACATACTATGATAAGCCTCGAGTGTTACTGTTGAGACGTAGCAAAATGGGACACCTGTCTCGCACCGAATTCATATCAGGAGAAGGTATCTAATGATCATAAGTTCAAACGACCAGGCAAAACCATAACAACAGAAAATCATAGGATTACAAGTTAAATTAGTTCACTAAAATTACTAAACTGATGTTACAGTTAACAAGTGTTACCGTATTTGACAAAGATGACTAACGTAACTCTTAAAACAGTCATTTCTTTTTGCGAGAAAACAAAAATAAAACCAAGTTCTCCTGTTAGGAGAGAATAACGATCGATCAGCATCATTGCAGGAGAGTTGAATACCGACTAAAAGAGCCAAATTGATTTTATAATTATATTTTTCCCAATCACACATACAGTATATTTAATTTTTAAACGTAGCAATATGTAATAAATCCCAAGCACCGAATAAAATTATCTTAACAATTTTCACTTAACATAAATGCGTGATGAATATACTTTGTCACTGACAATTGTTATCATTTAATACTAAACAACTTTAAAATGTCTGTTACAAAACAACAAGCATGACTTTTGTGCAATTGATTTATGTTGTTATATTTGTAAATCAACAAAAAATCATTTTCATAGTGGGGCCATTGACCATCCTTAAAATGTGTCTTAAGAGTGTGGCATTTTCTGTCAATCTACAATAACTTCGCCGGCTTTAACTCTTTCTTTACCAAACTTGGCCTGAAAATATAAAACATCAGGCCAATCAAATTGACATATAGAATGACTCCAAATGTCAAATTATGACGTTACTTTGCTGACGTCATCTGTACGTAAATCTAGAACTTTTAAATCTACCGATTTTTTAGACCGTTTTCAAAATAACTTTTCGTTGGGAGTTGGTCGCTGAAAAGTTTTTTTTTCCTGTATCGCAAATATGAACTGAGATATGCCATGTTTTGAATCTGGAAAAACTCATTGGGTAACAACGGGGTATCCCCCTTCTATAATAGGTTTTATTGTCCCGTCGTCAACACATATAAGGTGTACACCACATATATTTACTGTCAAAAATTAGCCGAGAAAAAAAAAGTCAAAACGGGAATTCTTAACTGCGTTAAATCCAGGAAAAAAGACTTGAAACACCATAAAATTTCACGTGATCATTTTTTAGAATATTTTACTGAAATTTTGCGTTTTAGAATCAAAAAGAAAAAATAAAAAGACACAATCTTGGGCAACTATGAAAAGTTTTTTAACGAAAAACTCAAAAGGATCTTTTTGTTAAAGAAAAAGTATGGTTCCGCGGGTTGCTCTTAAATTTCTTTGAAGTCCTATAACTCGAGTACTAAGTCTCATGCTTAGAGAAACGGTTTTCTGTACTTGCCTCAAGAGCTTTTTCAGATGAGACAAGTTTACCTTTCAAATTAAAAATTTAATGAAAAGAAATAATTATGAATCAAGATACGTGAAATTAGCCAAAACTGCCACATTTGAAGGGTGGTTTGATGACCCCACGCGATATTCTGTATAAAATGTTTATCGCTTATCTTAAAAGAAACTAGCTGTATGGAACTTGAAGCACGCATCAGTGCTGCCTTCTCCTCAGGCGCTTCGTTTTTTGGATGGTTTCTCATAGAGGCAAGCGCGAAAAATGAGCACAAATTTTCATCGCCGAGAGAGAGACGTCTGGGTACGAGGCAGCGCATCAGTGTGTGCTGCTTAAACTGTCTATATCGCCAGCATTTTTCTTGGTTTTGGTATCCTGCGAGGGAGGCAGCGTGGCCGAGTGGTCAGCGCGTCGGACTCGCAATCCGGCGGTCACGGGTTCGAGTCCCGCTCAGGCCACTTGCTGGATTTGTGCTCGGTCGTGCCGAGTTCAAATTCTCGGCTACGCTTGTAAATAGCCAACTGGTTGCCTTCTGCCAGTTGGGGTTTTTAATCGTGTTATGTTGTATTTGAATTATTTGTTTCTAAATATTTGAGTGGAGTGCCTGTAAATTAGCTGTACAAGCTAAGTGCAATTTCCACTATAAACAAGCCTTTAACCTTTTTAACCTTTTTCAACCTGCTAAAACTTAAAAAAAAAAATTGATTTCCACGGGACCCCACAACCTGATGTCCAACAGGATTTTTTTGTTTCATTGGAAAACGTATCGTTACTTTTTTAAAGGTCGCTCAGGCGAAGCCCAGTCTAAACCCAGCAACAATGGCCTTGGCCAGGAACTGGTTCTGAAACCGAACTTCACTTCCGGCCAAAGTGAAACTATAACTTTACTTGATGTACATGTTGTATGGAATTTGATTTTTGATATCCGTGGTTGGATCTGGCGAACTGAATTAAACTCTAAAACGCAGACGATATCAGACATTTCAATACATATTCTCAACTTAACAGTTACGCTAAACAGTTTCCAACTTACAAACCTAGTTTTTTTTTTCTAGTGGACCTTGATACCACTATTGTTAATACGAATATTGCTGCTTAGTAACTAAAATCCATTTATGAATGGCTGACATCCGAGTATTTCCATTTCCACACTTTCATATCTTTATCTGCAGTTCAAAAAATTAGTCATTTCATACATTTCCATTAAGACTCAAGAGTCTCGAAAAGTCACGATGCTTATAATTAGTAGCTTTCATTTCACACGACTATTTTTTTCCACCTGGCAAAAAATATACTCGCTTGTACATAAGAACCACAGAAAAGTAATATGCGGTATATGACAAAAGATTGAACATTCCTACATAAGCATAACAAAAACAAACTGCTGAAAAGTTGTGCTCTGTATTCACACGTTGGAAATTCATCCACAAACTCCAGTCACTCTAGAATCATCTCTAATCAAAGTTAGAACGAAGACGAAGAACCTGAAAACTCAATTGCCTTACGTAACATGCTTTTCATCCAAAGACTACTACGAATGGTGAAACACCATAAACATTATTGAAGCAAAACTAAAAGCCAATTGAAATTTCCTACACCAACAAAAAGAATATATTCCGATGCCAGTTTCATTTAATAATATTGCGACATCTTTCTGTATACTAGCTACATTTTGCATCAACATTTACATTACTCAGCAGGCGGAAAAAAGTAGTATAATATGGAATAATCTTTAAAAAACGAGTACTTAACGTATACCCTTATAATACACGAAGACTCTACTAAATGCTTCATCACATGGCCAAGTCAACAAGTTAGCTTTCGTACTCAGGACATAAACGTTGATGAAATAAGCTGACTGGCTCAGCTTGACTATGGATTCACTCTTCAAAACAACAGACGAAACGTGCCGTTAAGAATTCTGCAGTTTTTTTGTTTTAGTGATATTTAAAGGCTGTGGCCTATTCTGGACTTGGTACTCGTGCTCTTAACTAGTACAAAAAGTAAATAACAAAAACGCTATATTTTGAAATGTAACCAAAACATAATTATACAGGAATAACGAGACGTCCGGATCACTAATGTAAATTGTCAAGTCATTTACCTGTTAAACGGCATCACCATCAAAAAACTATTAAAAAATTGTTCACTTTCATAGTGACAACTTTCTACTTTCTTTATTCGTTCGCCGCATTCTTTAGCCGTGGGGCGTGATTTTGGATCTTTGTTCCAGCATTCTTTTATTAACTGAATCCATTGGGAAAGAGAGGCTTCGTAAGGTTCCTTATCCAAAAATTCTGGGCGATAACCTTTTTCCACCTTACGGAGCACTTCTTCCCTCGTTAAGTCTGCCGGGATGTCCCAGGAGACCACTTTTCCATATGACATCTCCCAAAACATTAACCCCATGCTGTAGATGTCTGCTTTGCTGTCGTATTCCTCGCCACGAAGCACCTCTGGTGCCATATAAATAGGGGTTTCCACGAAAGCACCAATGATATCCTTCGCTATTCTATCCATGCCAGTGACAGCGATCTTAGCTGACTTCTTCTCTGACACCTTAAAGTGGTAGACAACTAATAAATTCTATAACAGCACAATACTGACTGAAACAAAAAAATGATATCAGAAACTCATTTCATCTATTTTACTTGAAATAATCGATTATTTCATGCACCACTCGATCCAAACGAAAAACGAGTTTTAGCCTCATGATGTCATCAAACCTGTTATTTTGCATTAAGTCCACCCAATGAAGTTACTATTCCATTATTGGGCTCTTTAAACAAGGACTAAGCAAGAGGCTTGTACTGTGACCGAATTAATTTTTTCCCACCACGCGTGAAAACCCAAGGTTTCAGTGGTGACAGCAGTAAAAACGTGGCTTTTTAATAAAAAAATGAATTTGCATTTTTTGCCAGACTTTATTGCGAACTTCCTCAAATGTAGGCGAGATCATATCTAAGTTCAGAAAGGGAAGAAAAATTTGTCTTTGTTTGTTTACGTCCACCATAAAACCTGAAATTAGGCATTTTTACATCATGGTCGTGCAGTGATGGCAAAAAAATGTGTAGTTCCAGAACATATTCATACCCTCCCTCCAGAGGGCAACGTCATCGACTCCCGGTTATCTACAATCAGCGACAAAATTGTTGAGACATTATACTCAAATAGGGTCAGAGAACAAGAGAATCTACACCCCTCCTCCCTTCTCTCCTGTTAAAGTTGGGGTATTTGTTGTTTTCTATAGGTAGCTCGAACAGTGGCACAATATTGCATGAAGGAGATGAGGAAGGAAAAGCTTTATTTTCCCCTTTTGAAGTCAGTAAAACGTCAGAAAGACCGTTAGGGCGAACTTCCTCAACCAATTTTGTCACCAATTGTAGCTGTTGCTTTATTTCACTATTATGGTATTCACCCCCTCCTAAAACATGTTTTAACTGAAAGAAGTTCATTTGGTGTTTATTTTTAATGTAACTGATCGTATTACAGATAGCTGTTAGCATTATTCGTGTAGTTTAAGGTATCGCCTCCATGGTTCTTCGGTACTGGCTTATAATTACCGTATTTATTACTGAGCTACGAAAGACTTCTACAAGGCCAAATAGAGTTTATTAGACCGTATATTAACATGAATAAAAAGATTTTTCTCACTTTATTGCAAAAAAATAAGCACATTTCGCATTGTAGTAATAATGCAAAAGCATTTTTGACGAAAATATCATTTTAACCAGCGAAAACATCCGTTTCTCCTCGCTCCTCGCCGCTAGGGACGTTTCGCGCGGAGGAACGTCTGCGACTCAGCGACAGAAGTTCCATACTGATGACGTAAAATTTGTCCGGAATTCGGTCAGAAGAGCTGATTGGTCGACGGAGTAGTTACATTGTTTTAGCTATTGTTTACAAATGACAGACAAAAGACAAAAGGCCATAAAAGTCAAATGTAAACGCGAAGAATCTCTAACAGAACAGTCAATATTTGTGGAATATAGTCTTCTCTACAAGAAGCATGTGAGTTTTGCTGGAGCTCGATGGCAGACTAAGCACAACACTTTACCAAAATCGACCAGAAGACACGTAAAATTGGACAATGCAAATTTATATTTGGAACCCCATGACTACCGGATTTATTATGTAAACATAGAATTGCGTCATCAGTATGGAATTTCTGTCGCTGAGTCACAGACGTTCCTCCGTGCGAAACGTTCCCAGCGGCGAAGAGCGAGGAGAAACGGATGTTTTCGCAGGCTAATATTATTTCCAGGGCGCACTCAAACAAGATGGAAAAATCACGGAAATTCCAGGGGTGTAAGGGTTTGACAAGCACTCCCTGGAATGGAAATTCCAGGGGATGGGGAGTCTTAAAACAACAACAAAACCTAAAACAAAAACAAAAACAAGCAAGTTTCTAGTCGTAATAGTCTTCCCGAATGCGCAGGAGATCATGGCCGGCCGCAGTGTCAAGTATGTTACAGTCACGCCAGGTCAAGCCAGCCCCCAAGATTCCATTGAGATTCTGGATTCCATTAATGAATTTTCATGCGAAAGTTGAATCCTTTGATAGTTGTAGATTTCAGATTAATCTCTGCGTTCCTGCACCCCTAATGAGCAGTGAATTTTCATGCAAGGTAGTTATGAAATTTCTACCGGCTCAGTTTTCCTAAACTTGATATACATGTCTTCAAAGCAGTTTTAGCGGGGCTCCCGCGCGCGCGAAGCGCGCGTGGGACAGAGCCCCATACCCATGGAATATGGTCAACCTCTTTTCGTTTGGTTGTCACGTGATTGACCGAGCGTACGTACGTACGTACGCGTCTACAGATTGTATGGGTGGGGTAGGGGAGACTATCAAAAGGAAGGGAGGGGTGTCTCAGGCGTGTCTTGGCAAGTCCACATGTTTAATATAGGACATCAACAATATGGTCAATTGACAGCTGTCCAAACAGGATAGCCACTGACCAGTATCCCATGACCATATCGCGGGCTCATGTGTCAACTCATCGAGGTGACGTGATTTATTTGGAAGCTGTCCGCTGACCAGTTAACTGTTTTACTAGATCGCGAACAACGTTCAATCCCATACTTTTACTAGTTTGGGAGCACAGGAAAACTGATAATGCACACATATTGGACATCAATGTTTTGATCAATTGACAGCTGTCAAAACAGAGTACCCGCTGACCAGTATCACTTGACCGTATCGCGGGCTCAGGTGTCGACCCGTCGAGGTCAAGTATTTTTTGAAGTTATCCGCTGACAAGTAAACTAGTTTTCAAGTGATCGCAGGCTCAAGTTCAATTTTTTTTTAATTCATATGAAATATGTTGTGTTTATGTGCTGCACAATTAAAATTTTGATTGCAAACTGACCTCGGACGTGAAAATTCAGCCAGCTGTTACAGGCAGGGAAGACAGTTGCTTTTGTTTTTTCTCACAATGGTCACGCGTTGGTCACGCTCTACGTCCAATTTTTATGCTCTGATTGGTCAAAATTTGACAGGTGAGTTCATGCGCAAAATTTATGCAGCATCTTGAATCTTGTTTACTTTAACAGCTGAAGCTGACAGAGTTTTGTGTCAACTTGTGATGTTTTTAACTGTCTTTTTCCACTGGATGTACAAAATGAAATTCAGCCGCTATCAGGAGTCTTCTGTTACTCATGGCTAGTTTGTTTATTGGGTTTTTGGTTGAGAAAACGTCGCTTGTCAAAGTCGGAAATCCGATTTCGGATGGCATCGTTTTCGTTTTCACCTTGCTTGATGCGTAAGAGGATTGCAAAGTCTGAAGCGATACTGGTAACTTTCAGGAGCTGATAACTTTCAGGAGCTGCATCTCGAATGGTAAGCCAGAGAAATTATTGTATTTCATGTTTGTTTTTTGTATCTAATTTAATGAAGTGGAGCGTAGTTTATGCGGGAATTTAGTTTATGCGCGTTTGTAAGATTTGAGACAACGATCTCACCGAGTATCTGGTTTGATATAATCTTACAGAACTTTAAAAAGCCTTTAGACAGTTTCTCACCGCAAATAGAAAGAAAATGTTCCAAAGAATCTTTAGTTATAATTCCAGCCGGAAAAGAAAGCGTTGAGCGATTTTCTTGCCTCGAGTTCGTCTTTGAAAAAACAAACACCGGGAAGCTGGCTTAAAACATAAGCTTGAAGATTCAGGATATTTAGGGACACTTTAATACTTGTCTTCCTGAATGAAAATTGTTGTCTCTGTTTATGTTTCACCGAATTATATTTCTTTTATTGATTGTTAGTAGTCTCTCTTGCAATTTTAATCGCTATGCCGATTGTTTTCAGTCGTTCAGTGAACATCGCTTGCAGGAGTTCTCAAAATGCCGCGCGTTAAACCATCAAATAAAAAATAAACATGATAAATTCTTTATTATCTTGGAGCGTAACTCTGTTAATGTTCATTCAAACACTCGCTACAGCTCGCACTACAAAAGTGAGAACCGGATGGCCGTATAGGTGATTTTGGAAATTTTTTTTAACAGTTTATGAATATTGAATGACAGCAATTTGTATTGTGAAATACTGCTTTCTGTCCATGGGATAAAAGGTTGGTTTACACGCACCCAGATTTGTTGGCAAGATTTTGCAAAGTAAACTTGTCGAACGCCAAAACGTTGGCCTGGTTTTTTTTCTAAGCCTAATTGATCTACGGTGATCAATAGCCATTACGGCTCTTAAATGTGATAAAAGATGATTACCAGTTTTTGAGTGTACATATGAGGCTATCAACTCGATGTAAGATTTGGTTCACTCTTGGGCTGTTTGCAAATTATTTTTCTCTAAAATCAGGTAGCCTTTCCCTCAAAAGTCACATAAATGTGCTCTAAAGTTAACTGAATTGTGGAATTCGAATACAAGTTTATTGTTTAATTTAAATTATAAATTTACTAATGGGAGCCTCGCTTTTAGCCCTGGCTAAATCTATATATTATGCTCTCAAAGATTTTCAATCTGACCGAAAACAGAAAAGTTATCGTTAAAAAATTCACCACTCATTAAGCACGCAGGAATGCAAATTTGAATTTGATACTGGTTGCAGAAACGACTAACGGATTCAATTTTCAAATGATCGAGTCTTTTATATAACTTAGTGGGGTACGGTTGACCTGGTGCGACTGTAATTATTTAGTTGTATATTTGAAACAGAATTGCAAGATAAACGCATTTTATCGTTTTTTTGGTCATCCTTGGAAATTTAGTTTTTGATGAGCCTCAAATTCGGTGTAAGGCACGACACACGAGTTAAAAAATCCGGCCAAATACGCAAAATACAGTTAACGGAAAAGTAGATATTTTAAGAATAACATCTCGCCAAGTGATGCGAATGGGGCTGGTAAAACACAAGTAAGTGCTGAATTTGCCAAATTTCCTAAAAGGCATTGACGGGTGGCAGGAAAAAAATCACCGTCCTAGACCCTTACGTCGTCCTTGCTTAATTAAAGTCGCCATTAACCTCGTGGCTACGGATCGGTTCATTTCGGGTCAATATGTAACGATGCAGTTCATAAATTTCTGAATCAGGAGTTACTTCACACGAGTTTAAGTCAGTGATTCACATTTTTGGGAAAAATTCGATTCACTGCCGATTTCGCTATTCACCTACTACTCTTTCCAAACAAAATTTAGCTCGTTTCCTGGGAACTTAGGCAGGTGAAATTCCATGAGAAAAAAAACCGATAATGTGGGTAACAAAACTAGATATAAAAAGAAAGTAAAAGAAAAGAGAGCAAGAAAGAATGATCGAAATTTATTCCCAAATGCGAATGCGCCAAAAAAAAGAAATGACGCTTAATCACATCCAAATAGGAAAATATACGCAAAATATTGAAAATCTTTTTTCTTTGAAATTCCATGCAAATTGACGGAAGAACGGTCGAAAAAAGAGAGGTTGGTTAAAAAAGCGATCATTTTCGCAACTAAAAATAACTTTCGAACGCTTTCTTCTCAAGGACGTTTCGGACGTATTGTCATAAATCTTGTCTCTAAGTACTTCGCGAGGGCGCTCGAGTCTAAAAATTTCATTTGCTGTCAACTAGCTCGAATTAGAAAATTTTAGTTGGCACTTTTTCAGGAAATGGCCAGTATGTGAATGTAAATATTCCTACAAAGTCTGGTGCCTGTATCAAAAATCGCACAATTCCCGAACTAAGCCACCGGACTATATCGGCTGTAACTTCAATTGAGGTCACAAATAACTTCTCTGCGCCCTGTCATTGTGACATTTGATTCTTCCTTGGTGGTAAACCCCCATTTTCCTTCCACTATTCCCATAGATGCTGAACGTTTGTGGACAGTTAAATAGGCTTTACGTTTCTTCTTTTGAATTATGTCTTGGTATTTTATCTAACAAACGAATCATTTATGTTTCAACAATGAAGATTAAGTTAATATGTTGTACCTACAATTGCCCTTTAGGAAGAAGGGTTACAGGGACCTGTGTTTAGATATAAGCAAAATAGAACATGACAAAAGGTTATACTTCATCATACCCAGACATTTTCCAGCTTGAGCTGTCCGTGTATAATTCCTTGATCGTGGATGTACGCTAGACCTTCAGTGATGTCTTTTGCCCACTCCCATGCAACTTGTTTGTCGGCTTGGGCCTGAGGGTGTCGTTGAGACATGTAATTTCTTAGGCTCCCTGTGCACTTTTCCAGAACCAAGGTCGCTACCGTGATTTCCCTCCCCATACAAAGTGAAACACCAAAAAAGCCTACAATGTGATCGTGCTTTAATAACCTATTTGGAAAAGTCAAATAATTCAATTTGTAAAAATTCTGAGTTAAAATAAGACTATTTTGGTGAGTTAGGGAATCCAGCTGAAAGAACCCTTATTTATTGGTTAATCCGGTTGTTGTAGCATTTTAAAAGTTTCGACCAGTTAAAAGAGGTTTTTAATACGACAGGTCACACCGAATATCTCAAGGTAGCAAACATCAAACATACTGTAAACATTATAACTAAACTTGAAAACAATGCCAGTGAATGATAAGGACGCTCACTTGTAATTATAAACTCAAAATCTAAGGGAAAAAATTGGTTATATTTGCAGCCCAATTTAAAAGCCTTCCCTTGTTGATTATGATTGCACCTGCGTGATTTACTTACCAAGAAAAGGATTCCCTACAAAATCGAATCGGATTGAGATCGATTGGTTCGATAATCGAACTCACAGCAAAATAAACTAAAATAAATGTTCGATTACCGAAGCCAATCGAACGGTGCTGACCTTATCATGATTACACCGACAAATCGAATTTCTAAACGCTTGCTGGGTAGAATTTAGTTACTGGACTGTTCCAGGGAGGACTATAGGGATACAATTTGAATAAAGATTAGAGTCATTGGCAAAATGTAATTATCTGGAAGATTCTCTTGAAAATAGGGAAAGACACATATTACTAAAATTGGCCCTAAAATGATAGTCGCGGGACTAAAAAATATGTCCATAAGGTACTTGTTACCTGGGCAAAGTAGGCATGGATTTTTTTTGAGAATCCAAGTGAGTGCAGTTCAAGAATTATTGTTTCTGATACAAAACCATATAAAATGTCTTTGAAAATCGACAAATATGATAAGGTAGACTTCCCCTCTTTCCAAGTTAAATAATTTGTATGATTATTAAACTTCACTCAGTAGAGTACAAATAACATCGAAAACGAGTAGAAATATCTCACGGTATTTGTACTCCACAGGACCGGTCTTAGTTTCAACCCCCTGAAGACCGCTTTGGTCGTTTTCGATGTATATGGAACGATGCATTTTTTTCTTCCTGGACGATTATCTTTCAGTTTCTATAGGCGAATCTTTGTTTATACTTTTTGCCTCATTAACATATGCTTATCGCTATCTGATGACGCTAATGAAATAAAACCTCTGAATATTGAAAAGGTATAACAGTTTCAGTTATCTCTGAAAATTTGAGCCCAATACACCGATTTGTTTCAGAGAAATTCTCGAAATTTTACAGACAATGTATGGCTCATTAACTTTTTTGCTACACACAGCAATTTAGAAGTTTTTGATGGCTGATATTTCCTTCAATATTGCTTGAAAAGAGCTGAAAATTGCACAAGTTGCTCAACTTTTTCAGCTCTTTCCACTTTTTTTATTTAGTTCCTATATACCGCCACGGCGTCTATGAGTTAAGTCGTATGCTAATGAGGAAAAAGTGTAAACAATGACGTCAGAAAAGATTCGTCTATTAAGTTGGTAAGCAGCATTGTCACCAAAGATAGACTTTTCCACAAATACCTCGGGTTGGAAATTCTGACCAATCCTGAGAGAGTTACACACAAATAAAACAAGTAACAGATTGGGGAAAAATCCACTGCCAATTTCGCTATTTACCTACTACTCTTTCCTAATTAAAGTTGTGAAAGGCTTCTTAACACGATTAAAGTGAACAACAAAACTGGATATAAAAAAAATTGCAAAGAAAAAAAGAAAGAGCGAGAAAGACAGATCGAAACAGATTCATGCTTATGCGCATCAGCGAAAAACAAAACAAAAAGCTGCTTAACTACATCCGATTACTCCGAAAATATGCTCGTATTGTTGCAAAACTCATGTTAGCCATTCCCATGCTAATTGTCCGACAACCAGTCCAAAAAAAGGGAATTGGTGAATTCATTGGTTTTCGCTACTCCGACGAAAAAATTGATTTGCTTCAAATTTGCTCACCGGGGTGTAAATAGGTATGCAAAATCGGCATTTACCACCTCTGCTCAGATTTATTTCCCAGTTTGCACAAATTTGCATCATATTTGCGCTGAGCAAATTTGAACCAAATCCATTTTTTCGACCCGTGGGATCCGGCGCTGGCGGTCGTCAAAGGGTTAACGTATTTTAAACCATATTTATAGTGTTAGGACTTGTCCTTAAATGACGGCTGATTTTATAATAAGCTCTCGTTATTAGGCAGGTTTGAGGGCTATAGGTCATGAGTTCGTACGAAAATATAGGTACTAACTTATTCCTCATTCCAATATGAGAGTTTGCTCAGAGGGTATCTTAAGAGTAGGATTCAAAAAATTGCTTACCTCAATTGCCTCATCAATGTCACGGTTTCCTTTGCCTTGATAGCTTCAAACCCTTCTCTACATAACTTCAGTGTCACATCAGTTTGGACGTCATCTTTTCGTTTTCTTATCCCTTGGAAAACACCAACTACTCCGTCAGAGAAGCTTGAAGATACGTTCTCTTTCCATTCTAACTCCTCATAACCGATTGAAATAGAGCAAACCGCTTCGTCAAACTCCATCTGCTTCATCCTCATTTCTGTTGCACATACTGCAGCTGTCAGACGACTTTCTGGGTTTCCTTCCCAGCACTGTGTAAAAACATTCTCCCAGCGAATGGGAGGTTTCTTACAGCCTTCGAGGTGTTCAGGACGACAACCCACATCCACCAATTTACGAAACAGCTCGAGTGATGTGATAACCATATTCACGTCAAGGAACGCCCGTTTTCCATACCACATTTCCCACAACATGATACCCAAGCTGTATATGTCTGCTTTGCTGTCGTACGCACGGCCATGAAGCACTTCAGGAGCCATATAAACATATGTTCCCGCGACAGTTCCTGTGATGTCATCTACTGCTTTAGCCAAGCCAACATCGGCAATTCTAACCGAGTTATCTCTTGAAACCTTTAAGAAAAACGAATTGGTCACTAAGATACTCAACTGAACTGCATATTCAGTGAACGTTAATGAACCAACAAACAGACACAAACAAAAACACAAAAGTCGAATTTCTTCTAACGGCCTCCTTTCCACAGCGGGAACTTTCTTTGTTGCGTCAGACAGGACATTTACTCTAGTTCTAACCTCCCTATAAAACGTTCACCTCTGAAAAAAAAAAAAAAAAACACCGGACAGCCTTGCAATACATTTACTGTTGCCTCTGTAACTGTCACTTCTCCTGAATGGTGATGGCCACTAATTTCCGTCCGAAATAACAAAATCGCCTATATTTAGATATGACTACGAGTACACCTGATCGATTACTATTACGTTGAAATTTCGAGCTATTTTTGTCCCAAGAACGCTCACTCTTTCTAGCCAGCACATAAAGAGACGTAAGGGGTAGGGCTGTTGTGATAATTGATTATCTAAAGCACAAGAACTGGATTAGAAAACTCGAACTCTTGCTCAAATCTATAGGTCCTTATTTATCTCGCCACAACGGACATTTACAAGCAAATGCACCCACTGTTTCTTACTCGCTTTGTTTTATTTACATTTTTGTTTAGCGAAATTGTTTGCCAATTTATTCACACCGTTTGATTTCGTTAGGTATTCGTATAAACAGTGGTCTCTTTAGGGCTTTGGTCAGTTCTCTCGGGTCAATACCAATTCGAACATTATGTTTGGGCAAATACCACAAATAAGAATACTAGAAAATTTCAGGCCGTTCAAAACTTTGCTTGCCGAATCGTCAGCGGCGCGAAAAAATATGATCATGTAACACCCCTCTTAAAAAGCCTGTCTTGGTTGCCTGTTAAGGACCAACTGTACTATCGCCAAGCTATTATGGCCTTCAAATGCATGACCGGTCAAGCCCCTGAAACTCTTACATCCCAATTTATTACCCGTGAGCAAGTTAGCGAACGAACAACTCGGAGTAGCCAAAAGCTAAACGTCCCTCTTTTCAGAACTGTCTCCGGACAGAGAACCTTTTATTAAAGGACTGTTAAACTTTGGAACAATTTGGAATCTTTTCTTAAGTTAAGCCCATTTGTTGAAATTTTTAAAAATTCTTCTTAGTTAAGTTTAAAACATTGTAATTAGTAATTAGCTAACATTGTAATTAGTATTAGATTAAGTGTTGTAATTATTTATTATAAATAATGTAATATAATCATTGTTCCTGAAAAGCCCCTTTGGGGAGGTAACAATAAAGTATGTATGTATCTATGTATGTATGCAAAGTATGAATTCTTTGAGGTTGAAGTGCTCCAAGGAGTGTGTTCCTCTTCTTTGAAAATCATCCTGTTCTCTTCCATCTTTGTGAGCTTCCCTCGAGCTGTTTCAAGAGGTGCAATTAGATTGTTCCTGAGAGGGTGTACCACTGGAGGAAATAAGGAATCGACTTCCAAATGTACTTAGTTTAAGGTAGCTTGCACGGTTTATCATTGAACCAATCTTCATTGTCCCTTAACAAGAGATCGGTTTGGAAGACACTTAACGTTTCGTGCACTGGTGGTTCTGACTCTGGAGTATTCAGTTCGAGTTTCATAAACTCTTCTTACATTTCTTGCATTTTTTCCAAGGGCAGGGCATGGAGGTGGCTAAGTTAATGGTGCCTGATACCAAACAAACAAAGAATTCTTTTGTTTTACGTCATCTGTGTCCAGTACTCAAAGTTTTGACTGGAATTCGGAAGCCATTAATAGCTGGACAAATTGTCAATTCATTTGGTCAGGGAATGTGTACATTTGATTGTCAGTCTGGGAATGGGCCATTTGCACGATGACATCATTTTACTACTAAGACCAGAATATTTCAGCGTTTTTCTTTCTTTTGCAAATTAGGGCTTTTAATGGCTCTTAATCACAGTAGATTGCCTGGAAAACAAATTATTCCCAAACAAAATAACCTAATGGCTCACCTACACCACGTTACAGGCTGCAGTTGGACAGCACCGAAATTTGATTTTATGCTATAAAGGCCTGTTAAAAAGACAAGATAGTCCTTGGTGGCAGCCAATCTAAAAAGGAGGCCAAAATAATAAATGAGGCCGAATTTTTCGTGTTCGACAAGTTTACTTTACAGAATCTTGCCAACAAATCTGGTGGCGTGTAAACCAGCTTTTTATACTTTTTATACATCACATCTGAGGTAAACAGTACTATGAGACGCTGTTTTCTTATCATACAGACCTTGAAATAGCGTGCAGTTTTTCCCAATTTCGCAAGACAAATTGCGCTCATTCAATGTTCTGGACGATCGAAGCACGCGGTTCCTTTGCACAACAAATTAGAGAATAACCACATTATAAAAAGTTTTCATGAAGAGAATTTCATAATGTCTCGACTGTTCAGTCAGAAGAATATGCTTCTATGTGGTGTGCTGGGTAATAATGGGCTTTTAGCGAAACGTTCAAAAAAATTTCCAAAATCACCTATACGGCCATTTGGTTCTCTCTTTGACAAGGGCCAAACTTTCAGTGCGAGCTGTTAAGAAGATTAAACATTGGTTTGCCTGTGGTGCGGACGGACGGTCGCACGGTCGGTGTGCGGTCAAGTGATTACCAAATTTTCTCCGATGGGCAGATTTTTTTAGCTGTGGGGATACGCTCGCGTGCGCGTGGAGCTCCGCTATGAACACTTCCATAAATGATTTGGTACTTTTCGCTAATGAGGGTACAGCATATTCATTAATCATGAGTCATCACGCGAGGTTCTGCGATAAACGTTTTTCTAGTTTATGATGTAAAGAAAACAATTTAGCGAATCGCTCGGTAATTGCACTGTTGTAAATAAGTGAATTATGTGTGACGTCTTTCACGACGTAATAAGAAAATTCTTTTGCATTGACACTTAACATGCACAGGATCTTCGTTTCTTGTTTTGAATGCATTGTTCTCCGTTTTCCGACGTATTCTATAAAATACATGAACGTAAAGGCTAATTTCAGGAAAAAACAAAATGGGAGCCATTGGGTGAGCCGAGGGAGCATATTTGAAATGTAATTTTTAGGATGAAAGCTACCGTTCTAGGATTGCTATCATACCTTTTCACAATCCTGAATAGACAAAGATTAAAATAAATAATTAACAATTAATGAATGAGGCTGAGTATCTTATGAAGAATTATGGAGATCGAGGAGGGTGTTATCTGTCGAGGCCTTAGGCCGTGGCGGATAACACCCTCCGAGATCTCCATAATTCTTCATATGATACGAAAGCCGAATTCAATAATTGTTTTATTATTCATTCAAAACAATTCCTAGTTTAAAAACATAGCTAAAACAAGCTTACCAGCATCGATGTTAAGTTCATCTTCGATAGTTTACGTTTACGTTTGTCCAGCTCGCCAAATATTCTCCAAATAGCAGATGTCGCCCTCCGAATTGTCTTCTTGCTGTTTTTGCTATGTTTTTTTGCTATTATTACGCCTAGTTCCAACCGTAGTTTTTACTCTTGAAACGAGTGAAGTGTCCGCCATTTTTATTTTCACAACCAAAACAACTCAGCCTCGTTCCCACGGTGCCTTAACCTGTAAGAACGCTGCATTTTTGACGTCATCTCCTCGTTAAAGTCAAAATTCTTCCAAATTTGGTCATCAGTAACTGGTTATGGTGAATTATGCGCGTGCCTTTAGCCAATCAGAATTGGGGAAATATTTTGAATGAATAATAAGTTTCTTTAATTTTGTTCCCCAAAAGTGAGTAATTAAAATCCTTCCAGCTGATGGACTAGAATGGACAAGAGATTGGAAGCTACGCTGATGCATTATTTGGCCGGTAGGTACAGCAGTATGTTAAATTTTGCAATATTCATAATATTTTGTTTTTGCCGCAGTTTATGTCCACTGCCTTAGATTTCTTCTGGACCAACTGACTTCGATAACAAACACACAAACGTACAAAACTTTAAAACTAGTTGGAAAAGCGGGCTCGGCTTCTCGCCTTAATTCAAGCCTTTTGAAGAGGGGTGAGCTAAAAACAGATAAAGTAAGCCGAACAATACTATTATTTCCAAGCAACCTCTTATGTTTAAACGAATTTTGTCGAGGGTGAGATTAATGTGCCACAGGTCATGTACGCATGCATGCAACATATTGCTCGAGCTTTCTCAAACCACGAGGAATGTTCCAACCCTGGGAAAATTTTATCATGATGGCACATTTCTTACTCCTGCCGGTTAAGGTACGAAACAACGGGCAACAAAAAACGGGTAACTTGTTTCGCAACATTGCTGCAAAACGAGTTGAAAAGCGATGTTGCGCGTTTTATCACCCACATTAAACCTTTCTTGCAGCAGATTAGATTGTTGACAGGTTTGAACATGGATGGTAAAACGTGCAACATCGCTATTCAACTTGTTTTGCTGCCATGTTGCAAAACAAGTTACACTTTTTTGTTTGCCATTTTTTTCCCTACCTTTAGGAGTTGATGAAACGTGTTTTTGGTTAAGAGGTGACGAAAATCTGTTAAATTCAGTTTTATATTGAAAAAAAAGATCAATATGTTATTGTTTGTACGGAAAAAAGCTGTTAGTAAAAACCCTTTCTCGTTAATCCTCAGCGAAGAGGATAACAGAAAATTTAAATAAAGATGAGTAGCAGGGCTCGCAAAGGTGTTCAGCAAGCTGGTCATGAGAGACAGAATTTCTTTCTAAAGTTAAAGTTCTCGAAGTGTGATGCCCACGAGTGTCGCAAGAGGCGTCGGGACCTCTTTGTCTCGCATCGTGGCTCGATCCTTGAAATGAAATGAAAAATGAGCAAAAAAAAAAACAACAACAAACAAACAAACTAAACAAATGTGTACACTTTGAACGCTCTCCTCTCACCCCTCTTCAAAAGGCTTGAATCTGGGCGAGAGGTCGAGCCCGCTTTTCCAACTAGTTTCAAAGTTGTGTTCGTTTTTTTGTTATCGGGGTCAGTTAACCCGGAAGAGATCTGAGGCAGTGGACATAGCTGTATTATTTGGCCCTTACCAGCCAAATAATACATCAGCGTAGCTCGCCATCTCTTGTACATTCTCCGCGACATAGGTACACGGACCTTGCCAAAAAATAATTTTCCAAACTGAAACGACAGTTGTACAGATCTTTTCTCCTCGGCCATCTGCACGAGTTAGAACTGATATCCGAGGGAGCCACATAACTGCTCACTTTGTCTATATCCGAAGATGTCACAACTGATATTTATATTTTTAATATTTTATTTCCTTGTTTTTAATTAATTTGTCTTATTTATTTATCAACCTTATTTATTATTCTCAGCCGTTCCTCATCCACCGTCCGACGTCCGTCTCCTCGTTTTACAGAGTCCCCCCGAAGATACATTTTTGGCGGAAGTGATAAGCGGTGCAACTCAACGTTGTTTTTATTGGCCTCGAATGTTAACGGTTTTGCTATACGGTCAATATTAATGTTGATTGCCGAAGTTGCATGTTAAAAAGTGACATTTGATGTTGAACTCTCGAATCGAAAGTTGAAGTCTCAAATTCGAGTTATGGTTGGAATGGTACATCTTTGGTAACCCAACCATCAACCAACTTGGTGATTCAAAATTCATCTTTCAAGGACAGCGTATGTGCTAAGAGCAATGTTGATCAATAAACTTGAATGTTGATCGACACAGTTTAACTTTCAATTTTAAAGTTGATGTCTTAAGTTATAACGATTGCGATAAGAACTACAAAATTGAATTGTAAAAGGTAATGTTGATCTTTCTCGACTCAAATGTCAACATGACAGTTAAAACTGTCATGTTGAATGTTGTGATCTACTTTGATTTTTGGCGGGGATGAAACTCCATATTTTCCTTTCCTCGAAATGTTTTTATACCAGTAATGTCACGAATGGATTGCTAGGATGTTATGATGAGGCCGTCAAGGAATTTTAAAGGTAAAGTTGTGCTAAGCACATATTCGCTAAGCATGCTTTTCAATTAGAAATATTTTGAATAAATATTAAAACATATGGATTCCAGCGGCCTTGGTATGATATGAAGAATTATACAGAACAATGATAGTTGGGGATCGGTTTGGTAGGGTAGTGGAGGAAAATATCAAGCGTACAAAAATCCCAGTTTCTGGGTTGTCAATGTATTTCTTTTTAGTGACTGAAAGCTTTTCTAAGTTTTTTGAAAATGGAAACGACCGCTCTTAAAAGGGAAATTTGCTATGTCGCTTTAATAAGCATGTATTTACACTAAAAAAGCAGTAAGCAAAAAAAAAAAAAAAATACAAAATGGTGTATCATACCAAGATATTTTCCAACTTCAGGTCTCTGTGAACGATTTGCTGACCATGTATGTACACCAGACCATCACATATCTCTTTTGCCCATCGGCAAACATCTTTAGGGACATCAGGATCTCCTGATCTGCTGGGAATTGACTCTTTATTCTTAAAGATACGGCTCCTCATATTCTCTTCGCACTTTTCCAAGACAGAGATCACTCTGGCTGAGGCCCTGTCCTTAACGACGCCATAAAAGCGCACTATGTGACGGTGGTCTAATTTTCTGGAATTAACGAAAGTGGAGAGAATGAAGCCTACTTCCCCAAAATAATCAAAGCCGACGTATTTCATCTGCCTTTATCCCAAGCGGGTACAAAAGAAATACCAAGACGTAATGTATAATTAAGTCGCTAAATTGCAGTTAATCAATTCAGCACAGTGACTATTTGTTTCTTTTGTTATCCTTCGGTAAAAAGTGTTCGTCCAGGAATTATCCCTACAATTCTTTCTCCAGTACAGGGATATGAATTGATTTATCCCATTAAGACCACATTTTACCCGGCTTCTTGTCAACATGCTATAACATTGATAACCAAGCTAAAACTCAGTAGCGGGAAAATACATCAGTTAGATCTCAACTCATCCGAGGAAGTAAAATTGCCTTCTAATGATGGGTTCACAAATATGGAAACAGAGATTAAATAATAAGTAATAAAATACGTTTCTTTCTTGCTCACCATCGAGTCTCAGTAGGTCAGTGTGTAGAACATCCGACTAGATCAAGGAGGGTCGTGGGTTCGAATCCCATTTGGGGCTCGGATTTTTTCCCAGTTTCCATTTGATGCAAAAACGTATCATGTTGTTATATTTCTTCCTTATATAGAAAACAATTTTAAAGGTCAGTAGATCGAGAGTGGCGAGAAATCTGGAACACACTTTTTCGTGTGACTTACATTAGGCACCACTGAATAATAGTTGAAACCGGCGTACGTAAAAATTGTTCTGAAATGGGCTTATAGTTCACGATAAACAACCATGTCTATGCTTAAAGTCTGCTGACTTCAATACCATTCAAATTTTGAAAGCGATCGAAAGCGGAGTAAACGAAGGAATCTGGATGATTTTCCGTGGAAAAATTGCTGATCGAAGATTAAAGATTTTTCCGAGGCCGTTGCGCACTGAAATTCAGCATGGTTATTTTATTCCAGCTGCTCAGCGGATTCAAAGCGATAATTGTTATATTTATTTCCACTTGAAAGAAAGCCCTAATGACCTCCCGCGAGTAATAGAAACTGGTCGGGTTGTACATAAGAACAGGATGGTAGTGCTAATCGAATCAGATAAGAAGCAGGGCATACGATTGTTTTGAGGACGCCCTTTGCTGTTGATTATTTCTCTTTTCTCGGCCAATTTTCTGTAATAATAATGGTCTGATATAATAGTCTGGTATAATGGTCTAATAAAAGTAATGTTCTGTAATGACTGCCGTGATATTTCCTGAGTTTCAACTATCACTGCGCATGCCTGTCCGGATTTTCTCGCCAGAAACGATCTAACAGCGATGTAAAGAGTGAATAGCCATCAGCATGCACAACTATTTTACCTCAAAAGGTAGATCTCCTCCATGATAGCGATTGCGTTTTCTTCGCATAGCTCTTGATGAAACACCTTCAATGCCACAATTTGGTCTTCTCCGTGTCTTCTTAAATTCGCTTTATGCACGGTTGCAAATGAACCACTGCCAAGTATGGAAGATACGTCCTCATTCCACTTCACGTCATTGCGGCAAATTGAAGCGGAGCACACCTCAGTTATCCCGAAAATTGCCAGCTGACTTCTTTGTTGTAAGCTGTCATCGAAAATCGGCTTATACAACTTCTCGTTTTCTGCCTGTGATCGCTCGTCACTAGCTAGTTGTTCACAAAGCTCCTTGTCGGCTTTGATGAGCTTTGGTAAACTGTCTTTCATGTTGTTAAGATAGTTCTCCACCTCCTTTAATTCACCTCGCACAAAAAACTTCAATTTCTCTGTATCTGCAGCACCCTGGAGATATTTCTCGGAAGAATCTTTCATAAAAGAGGCCTTGTCGTTCTGGTATGTCCGGCCTCTCCAATAACCCATCAATTCTTTGCAAAACAGCAGTGCGGTGACGAAAGGCACACCCCAAAGACACACGGAACCAATGGTCCATCCGACGTACCCAACGCCGAAGAGAGATAATGCGCCAGCTGCACGTGTAACGAATTCGGTCGTCCAGCTTGAGCTGAGAATATTGTTGTTTGAAGAAGCGAGATTGCCATCTCCCTCTATGATCGCCCTTTCGACATCTCGTAGTTGACTTGTGACATCAAGGTAATGCTTCTCAAATAACTCGACTAGGCACTTTCTAGCACTCCCCAAAACGTTATTTTCCTCCTCCCATGACTCTACAACTTCATTTAACCGACTTTGAAGTGCCCTTTTCATACCCGCCTCCGTTTCTTCCCAGGAGTCTTTTACAACTGGAGCCTTGTCCTCAGTCCATGAGCAAAAGCGTTTTATTACTTCTTTAGAAGAAAGATGCTCATAGAGCTTCTGCGCAGTTTCTTTGACTTTTTCTTCGAAACAGTTGCGAAGATCCTGCATCGTTTTCTCTTGGTTTTCCTCTATTGAAACTAATCGACACTTAATTCGTTCCATTTTTGCTTGTACCTCCCCACGTTCCCGTGAAGCATTAACCAAAAACGCTTTAGCATTACAGTTCATCTTCTGAAGTAGATAATCAATCCATCTGTAATAAAACGTATTTTTATATAAACACCAATGAAATACCAAGTGAGCAGTTCGCGCGAAAACTTGATATCTTCACATGTGAAAATAATATGTTATCTTTACATTTGAAAATATGACCATTGCTTTGGCTTCATAATAAACCGCAACTTTCAGACCAAAAAACCTTTTTTAAGTAAAATGGTTTGGCATTTCATTTCTGTTTATATAATAAATAGAATATTACATGGTCGCTTAGAGATACGAAATATCTCTTCTCGTGTTGAAAAAAACATTTCACTCGTTCGCTGCGCTCACTCGTGAAATATTTTTCAACACTCGAAGAGAAATTTCGTATCTCCGCGCGGCCATGTAATATCCTCTATTTATTCTGTCTTAGTTTAGTGTCTTACAACACTGTTAGAAACAGACAACTGGACATCTCAAATACCGCAAAATACACGAATAAACACATAGCGGGCAGTCCGTGTCTGGTCTGAATGGGCCGAGGAACGCAACGATTTGATCCAAATCATTGGAGACAGTGAGACAATTCCCCAAATATCGCTGACAATTGACGAAGTTAATTATAGGCTCAACAAACTCGTCGTCGAAGGTTAAATTGCTTGGTCTAGAGGAGGAATGTTATGTCGTCAGAAACAGCAAAGTTGAATTGCAAATAATTGCAACGAAAACATTTAGGAGAATTAATTTCCATTATTTTTTCGTTTTGGTTTTGTCTGTATAAAGTCCTTCAGTCGAGGGATTTATCTGTATAAATTCCTCAAATGAGGGATTTATACAGATAAATTCCTAATAATCGTTATAAATTCCATCACCAGCCCCGCTCCTCCCAGCTACGTTATCAAGCCCCCCGCCCCGGACTTTCAGTTTGTTGAATATTCAAGAGGGTTGTACGTTAAATGAAGGCTGTTGAATAGCAAAAGAAAAGTTGTGAATCATGAAATAAGTTAGGTTTCATTTGCTTGAAGTGAATAGAACTAGTCTTATAAGTTCCTTCATTATTTTTATTTTTCCTTGATTTGTAATTAATCATAAAAATCTCTCCCAGAATCCTTCAAGGCAATTTTTTAAAAAGCTTTATAATTTTATACGTAGAAGACTGTCAAACCACAAGAAGATAACATTAGCCATAAAATGTCATCTAAGGTAATGACGTCATCAGTCACGTGACTATTTCCGAACTATTTTTTTTAGTTGTTGTGACAAGATTTTATTAACGAGTTTAAACAAATAGGATATTTGAGGTTTTAGTTGTGTGGGGCATTTAAAAATAACAAGTTGACGTCCGGCATTTAAAATTTAAGTGGGTAATAAACATGAGCGAAAAAATCAGAAGACTAAGCCGAGGGCTGTGGAGAGTCAACCTTTTATCACACGGTAGAGAAAATTTGCGGGAAAGTAATGTTCTAGCTGATAATTTTTTTCATAACCAAAAGAGGAACACGACGTCATCAGTCACCTGATCAGAGGGGTTTTGAATGTTTTAGTTCGTTTTTATAAGTACCTTCTTCGTCACAAATTTGCAAGTTTTTGCTGTTTTTCTCAACTATTCTTTACACTGTTTTGTTCCTGAGTAATTCTTATTCCATTTTCAAAGCAGACCCAAACGAAAACTGAGCCAGAAGTTTAAAAGTTGCGTGAATTGTCCGATATTGCAAGTTAAAATCGAAAAGGAGACCTACTCTTGAGACTTTTGTAAAATCCTTTTTCAACTTAACTGTTTGTTTGCCGAAATAAATGTTCGACGTTTGTTGATAAAGGAGAACTTTAAAAACTAAAAGGATGTATTTGGCGGCCATATTGTTTTTCTTTATTCCGGGGAGAGAGGTCATGTAGCAGTTCTTCTAGCCTGAAAACCAAATTGTGGAGGAGAGAATAAAAACATTAAGGAGGGAAAGTAATAAAATTGTGGAGGAGGGAATAAAAAAGATTGAGGAGGGAAAAAAAATTGAAAAGGGAGAGGGGTAAGTAAAACATTGTTTGGAGTGTAAAAAAAACAAGTATGGCTGCCTTCTTTGACTATTTTAATAGAATCTTTAACCTAATCTCAGTTTGCCATTATTTTAATAAAGGGTCATAAAGTTGATTTCTTAAGTCTTAAGAAACGTGTCTGGTTTTATTGCTAGCAATTATTAGTCGCGTGTTTCAATTGATCCTTGTTAAGTTATTAATTGTTTTTTTTTGTGTGTGTGTTTTCATAATAATAAGTAAAGATGCTCCCTTGGGGTTGTATGCAACGGTGGGCTTGTGAACTCGCATCATTACCTGACTAACGGCGCGTGAGACGCTGAGACTTCAATAGTTTTTCATTTCCTCGAGATAGATAGGAGAAAACGCGGTTCTGTAATAGTCAGACAAAATTGAAATAAAGACTTTTTAGCTCCACTTTGTGTATATGTGTGTTTTGTTTATATATCTGAGTTTTAGCGCTAAATAAGATATAGGAAACCGTTTCTCGCGTTGCTAGGTGATCGCTCCTCTTATTCCTATTTTCCTTTTTAATGGAAGGTCCGTAAACCAGGCTCAAGTTATTTCACGGGCAAGTCGAGGTAAGCCTATTGTTTCTATTGTGTTCTTTCGAGAAACGACTATCAACTTCATTATATATGGAGGAACGCACATAATTAGATGGAGGAACGCATTTTTTCCCTAGGTTATAACAATGGGTGACGTCATAGACTCGACCCATATGCATATTAATTAAGGAAACGCGCACGGAACGCAAAGGGAACGCACCAACGGGGCTTAATTTCCAACATAGTATACTTTAATTGTAAATCCATTTTATTAATCGGCTTGTGCGCGACTAAAGAAGCAGCTTTAATAGTTGATTTTACTTTCACTTTGACATGATTTGTATGTCACTGGAAATTATTTGTATACCAAAATGAGCGATCAATTTTCATCCATCCATTTCAAAAAAAAAAAACACTTCTCACTATAGCGCACAACCTCGAACCGTGACTTCGTCGTATAATTATGCGGCACCGAAGAAAGACGAAAAAGCTAACCCTTTTTTATCAAATTATTTTAAGGTTTAAACTCGAAGCTTTATACAGTGTAAGATGATTATAATTTACTTTAACCGGTATCACTTGTAATAATAATAGTAATAACAATAACAATAAATAGTTGAAGAGTGGTCAAATTCGAGTTGGACCACTTACCAGTCAACAAGTATCTTTGCTAACTCCTTTGAGCAGTATATTTACATTGAAATTAGCTTTTTGGCGCTTGTCTTATTACGAAGTCAAAAATTGTCTCCGCTTTGACGAATAAGAATGTTACTTTTTTGGAATATATTAGAGGGAAAATCGATTTCCCGTTTACAGTGCTACGCACCTTACCGTTGTCACTCGAAGAAGGTTTTTGATAAAATTTTGACATCTTTTTGACAACTTTCTGATATCAGATGGCCAATCAGAATGAGCGGAGTCTCCGTTGGAGAGACATGACGGCCCGGGGGGGGTACTCCCGCGAATTTTGGATAGGGGTGTGCCGCGAAGGTTCGTGAACCCTAACCCTATTTAAGGACTAAGAAAGCGAAAACTGATACCCTTTTTAAGGCCGAAAGCGGAAAAATGACACCCTATTCAAGGAAAAAAAAAAATTATTAATGGCATGAAAAGGAAAACTTTATTTCCTCTTTGTAACATTGGATGTATAGCATCAAGCATAAAATACCAGAAAAGGCCTAGTTTAAAAAAAAAAATGTTCGTTTAGGTGGGCGTTTTCACACTCCAGTATTAGATAATACAATTACGCTACCCTATCTAAGGACCACACCAGGGACACAGAAACAAAAGGGTCAGAAAAGATACCCTATTTAAGGACCGAGAACCTCAAAAACCATACCCTATTCCGCGGCACGTACCTATATAGCCCATATATGGGAGTACCCCCCCCCGGGCATGACGGTGACAATTTGCCGCCGGTTGAAGCAGCGCGAAATTTTCAGTTCTTTTTGAGAATGCCACAGCTAGCGTTTTAATGAATAATCTGTTTGCCGATTTGCTCTTGAAATTTTCCATGTAAGCGTTGACTGAGAATGAATGAAAGTTTACATGTCCGTTGCACATTTATTCCGTTCTGCAACTGAAGTTCAGTTTAAATACGACAATTCAAACATCAACAACAGTTGTTTGGGTTCTAAACTTCTAAACAACTAAGTTCGTCGCCAGGCACTTAAATTTTACAATCCAAACTTCCCTCGCTTCATTTTGCAAGGGTACGCAGAGTCAACTTGGTTAGCTTGAATAAATATTTTCTTGTAGTCGTGGTCTTTCACTTCTTTCGCCATAAGAAGCATTTCCAAGAACGCCAAAAAAAAAATCTGCTTGACAAACATTCACCATATCACCATATCATGGCAGTCACGTGCACGGTAGCTAAGTGTAATGTTATCTTCGTCCAGGAGAGCCAAAGAAGAACAATACTTTTTAATGCTACTTACTAGAAATACGTTTTCCTAAAAATCTCGCGAAGCTAACAGGGTCAGCAGTGACAATAAACAGTAAAAAGCTAAAGGGTAAAAAAACGATGAAAGAAAAAAAATGGAGGTAGCCACGCCGGGATTAGAACCTGCATCCCAACTTCCTCCAGCGAAAAAAGTGCGGCTTCGGACCACTCGGCTGTGTGATCACTGCACCAACCAATTGTAAAATTAATAGTCTTGGAGTATCTTTCTCTACCATTCACACTGTTTGAACCTTACGGAGCTGTATTTATCATGAATTCAAAGATATAGTTTGAGGAGAAATAGCTCAAACGAGTATTTCAAAACCATTTTGCACTATTTCCGTGTTTATTCACTCTCGGGCTTTATATAGGCCGCTCGATTAACGGACTGGCCTTCTTCTTCTTTTAGTTGAATGAAACCCGCAATATGTTAGGTAAACAATAATAAATTTCGCTTTTAATTCGATTTCATTGCTGTTGAACATCTCGTTTGTTTTGTTTGATATGTCCTCTTGAAATATTTACCGTTGAGATTGTATGTTATCAAAAGCCGTTTTCATCCGTTTTCGATCTGTAACACAGTTGGAACAACATACTTTTTGCTTCAAAATTAATCGTGGGTTGATGCAGTGTGGTCCTTTGTGGAATTATTAAAAGCTCCAAAGCATTCTGAGCCTGATATTTTTCTCTAGCTACTAAGAAACTAAGTAACATGTAAACAAGGAAAATAACAGGTAGTCATAAAATTAAAGAAGGAGAGAGCCGATGGGGATAGCGACATCAAAAGATTATTAATAAAATCCTTGAAAGAAGGAAAGGTTTTCAGAGGTTTCACGGCAGAAGTTAGATGTTTCGGCATGTCACGTCCTGCTACATAATCCTTTTGCGGTTATTTGAGGTCTACAGGTTTTTGCTGCGGCCATGAAATCTTGTAGCATCTTGAGAAATAGTGTGATTGCCAAACAGTCTTTAATTCTTCCTGAGTTTGATAATTCTGCACTCCAAGAGTTTTTGTAGCTTTCATGTCTTATGGCAACTAAATAATAACTTATATAGCACCATCAAAATGAATAAAAATCCGGACAACATAAACCGATACCTTTCTTCACTTCGACGTTTTGCTTCTTTAAAGGAAATCCTTCAAAATCATGAGGAAAACATCTTGATTTTCGCTGTCCCAGGTTGCGGTAGATAAGACACAGAAGACACGACAGTTTCTACTTACGAAGGCACAAAATTGCCTCCGATTTGTTGGTTCCACGATCAGCCGTTACAGACCTTACCGTAAGCGCTTCAATTCCCTTTTAAGAAGTCTGGCTCTCCAACAAAGAGTTTCACTTTTTAATTCTTTGAAAAGCTCCTTTTAAATAAGGGCGATGGAATACAACATTACGAGCAAAATTTAAACATCCGAACAAAGGAACAGTGCTACTACAGCAAACACGTCCTCGTGTGTTGCAACAAAAAATAGCAATATTTTTAAGCCAGATTACATATTATTTATATTAACTCGAAACCAGCTTTCCTTGGTTGTAAGGGAAGGAACGGAGGCAGGAGCTACGGTGATGGAACAAGGAGTAAACTTGTTGGCGAATTTCCCTCTTTCGTCGCCATTTTTTTCTCACTACAGAAATATGCGGACGTCCTCGAAAACACATTAATTCCGCGGGAAAGCCTGTTCTAAAAACGATTCTTTACGGGAATGGGTTGACTCAAAGGTACAGCCCATATGGAGGCTCCAAGTAATTGGCTCCTGTCGGCGGATAACCTCAAAAAAATACTCGACCTCGGTGGGTCGATACCTGAGCCTGCGATAAGGTCGGATAGTACTGGTCAGCGGTTACCCTGTTTCGACATCTGTCAATAAATCACAACATGGATGTGCAGTTAGGGTGCACCTGGGCTCCCGAACTACTATCTATAGCTAGAAACTATGAGATTAAAAATTGGTTTCCTTGTGGTGCCGACGGACGGTCGGTGGTCGGTGGTCGGTGGTCGGTGTACGGTCACGTGATTACCACATTTTCCAGGATGGATAGATTTTCTTAGCTACACGGGGCTCTGCCAACGCGCGCGCTATTCGCGTGCGCATGGAGCTCCACTATTAATAAACAGATAATATTACAGTGCATTGCCTGCAGCTAACGAGGCTATTTAACAATTGACTCAGAGGCCATGAGGGCGAGAGGAATAATTGTTTTAGTAAAATCCCACTAAAAGTAAAAGGTATTTGTCGAGTGTTTTTTTTTTTTCAATTTATTGTTGAGGAGATGTCGGATGTGACAGGGTATGTCATTCCACAGCTTAGCCCCAAAGCGAGAGAAGGAAAGTTTATGTAATTTTAGATCGGAAATATTAACATAAAAATTTCCTGACGCCGATGCTCTTGTATTGTAAAAGTGGCAACTACTTGTTTTTCGAAATAGATTTAGAATGCCAAAAGGCAAGTACCTTATTGTTATGGCCATTATGCATAAGGTTAGATATAGTCTGATAATATAAAAAGTTCAAGGATAAAACGTTGGCATCAATTAAGAGAGCTATTGCGTGATCTCGTCTGTTCGAGAAGTTTACTATCGGAAGAGCTCTCTTTGTAGCAATAGAATTTTGTTGAGATGTGTCTTCGCTGATTGACCCCAAGCAGCAAGTCCATATGTAATTTACGGGTATATAAGTGATGATAAATTTTAAGAAAATTTTGTCGGGGTACAAAATGACGCAATTTCGCAAGTAAGCCAGCCGTTTTGCTGATTTTTAATGGGACAGTATCAATGAGATTTTTCCAGGTAAGGTTTCTATTAATCAAATTGCCAAAATCTTAAGTATAATCCTTAGGTTCAAGAGTAGCATATTCATTTTTCTCTTTGTCAAATAAACATATTTGCCCCCGCAGGGATTTCGCCTGGAAGGCGAAATCCCGAGAAGCCACTCTAGTAACTCGCGCGTATATTAAGGAAAGTACTTACAGTTGTAATATACAGTCATACAGGCAATATAGGAAAAATCTCGATTTGCTTCAACAGGGACCACGAGGAATCGGTAGGTAATGATGACGTTTCTATTGTTTGCGCCCGCAAGTACGAAATGGTTAGGATGACGTAAAGACAAAACATCCCCAAGGGACCAACTAGGTAGATTTTGTGACATTTATTGTGAAGTCATTTTTCGAAACTCTTTTGCGTTACGTGTTATCACTGACATTCTGTGGAGCAGTTTTTTCAGTGAAAGTTATGGATCAAAATTTTAACGACACTCGTCAAGCGCAGAAGAAGCTATAAGGTGCGTATAACTGTGTATATATATAAACACTTGGAGAGTTTGCCAGACCTGAGTGAACAACGGCTAGCTTCTCACTAGCAGAACGATGGACGATTACAGAAATTCGCCGACAATCAAATTCTGTGCTGACTTATTCCCTGTTCAAAAATACAGTTTAAAATAAGACTAGAATGCGCAAGTGTGAATTGATGAAACGTCGTTTTAATTTCTAAGGCTTCCTTTCCGGCAAATAAAATGAACTGAACGTAAAAAATGAAAGAGAAATGGCGAAAAATTCAACTTCTAATTAAATCTTTTCTTATGGTTTAGAATGAACTATTCTCGAAACTGAGAATGTTTTGATCAAAGCTGGGTAATTCGACCTGAAACTGTGCATGGAACCTTACGTTTCCTGTATTTATCTTACGTATTGTATGGAATATGTGAAAAAAATCTTCCTTATGAATCGGTATATTTCAAAGAGCTACACAACGAGCAAGAATGCTATTGACCGACAATATACAGAACGGGGGCAGCTGTAGAGTCAACTATTAATAGTTTAGGTTCATAGTTAGGCTTTTTTTGTGATTTTTTCAGCAAAAAGTATACTGATATCACCGACGAAGGGATAGAATTAAAGTTTAGAAGAGCACTGGTGGATATAATTAACAAACAGCAGAAAGAGAAGTGGACCTAAAACGGACCCTTGAGAAACTCCAAAGCTGATTATGGCTTTATTTGATATGTGATCAACAATTTGAGAAGTTTGGGTGCGGTTATTGTGATATGAGGAAAACCATTGGTTGATTAATCCTCGAAAGCCGTAAAAGTTGAGTTTATCTAGCATAATATTATGGTCAACGGTGTCAAAAGCTTTTTTGAGGTCAATAAACACACCACAAGAGTATAGACCTTGGTTCATATTGGCGTGGATTATGTCAGCGATGTCTAATATAGCATGTTGAGTAGAATGTCCTTTGCGAAAGCCTTAAATTAAATTGTGTTTCTAAATGTAATTCATCATTCTGGTAAACATAAGCCTTTCAAATATTCTGTTGAAATTTGGCAACATAGATATACTAGGTTTATAATTATCTGGGCCCATCTCGTCATCGGATTTAAAAAGAGGCAGAATTTTAGGCAATTTCAATTTTGATAGAAACATTAAGGATAGTTCCGAAGAACAGGGGCTATGATGTCAACTGAGCATTGTAGTAGCTTTGTAGGAGAGGAGTATAAGCCGTGTGATTTGTTATTAGGTAGAGATAATATTTCAGTCTTTTCACAATCATATGTTATTGGTTGAAGAAAGAAAGATTGCATTGGAGACATATTTTTGTTAACAAAGTTGAGATAATGTTGTTAGGAAGAAGGAGTCTTACTTGCGAGTTTACTCCCGACAGGCGCAAAACGTTCAATGACAATAATAGGAATATGTGAAGAATTTTCGATTAGTTTATTCTTTTAGTATATAAATGATGAATGTTTGATAAACATGGCAGTTAACTCCTATAGTTACCAGTGATAGTTGATGTCACTATAAACGAAATGTGCCGCAGTGTCACTATCTTTTTGATAAACTAGTAAATTAATTTAACTTGGAAATAAAGGATTTACACGTGTAATGGTTTATTAATTTTACAAATACTTTAAAAGACGGAATCCATCAGGAAATTGAGTAATTTCAATTTTCAGTAGACAAAAACCTTTTACCAGGATAAATTAAACAAATATCGTATTCTTTTTTTACATTTTTTCAAGGGCTATAGAAATAATTAGTTGCTTGTAAAGACAAAAGACTATTTCTCATGGGAAAATTTCATGTGTAAGGTGTCACTTTGTGAAATTTGACATTTATTTTGTAGGGCTCTCTCAAGAAATTTTGTTTTGGTGTTATTACTGATAACTGATTTCATCTATATCCCGTTAAAAATGTTTAAAAAATGCGATATTGTTTGAATTATTCTGGTAAAAGGTTTTTGTCGACTCACTGAAAATTAAAATTATTCAATTTCCTGATGGATTTCGTCTTAATTTTGAAGTAGCATTTTATAAGATTTAGCATCTCTCTTTCCGCCTACCTTTCAGCGTTTAGGAATTTTTTTCCATACCCCCTTTTCATAGCGTGCGAGAGAATCTGGTTTTTTCGGCTCTAGTTTCACCAGCCGAGAAAAACCGTCCGCGAAACCGAGCAGAGAAAAAATTTTCGAGACATCAGCTGTTAGTGACCAATCACAATTCACCTCGTATATTCAAAGAAGTAACGCGCAAGTTTGTTGCGTGGATCTCGCAAAAATGCTTGGGAAAATATGGCGGAAGATGCGTTGAGGAAAGAATGCCAAGTTTTCGGGTTTGAAAGACTCAACAAGCATCAAAAGGAAGCCTTGCGACTTGTTGTTGAATCAAACAGCGACGTTTTCGCGAATCTTTCAGCTGGTATCAGAAAGTCTGTAGTATTTCAGGCTTTGCCTATTGTGTATTCTTATTTGCAACCAACTCGTGAAAAGAACATCCTGGATAAAACTAGAAACCAGAGCCGAAAAAACCCGATGCTCCCCCAGGCTATAACCTGTGTACAGCCGCCCCTTTTCGGGCCTGGGGCCTGTTTCTCGAAAGTCCCGGTAACTATTCGGGCCCGAAATCAAATATTCACATCGAAATATAAAGAATAAGAGCGCGGGTACTGGCTGGCAAACTACTCCATTTTGTTTCACTAACTGATAGCTTTATCATGCTAGATGCAAAACTATTGAAACCTCGATCTTTAATGTAAACGGAGACAGCTTACCGGGCCCGTTAATTATCGGGACTTTCGAGAAACGGACCCCTGGGAATCGCAGAAGTATTTTTTTAATTTGCCCGGATCGCGGGACTGATTGATGAAATAAACACTAAGAGGATTCTTATTGAAGAAAAGATTAGAGGAATTTTTTTATCTATTCGCGTACCTAGTCAACGATTTATCACACCTTTCTGTTTTGATCACATTCGAAACGATAAATGTCCTAGTGGCAGTAGACGCATCATGCCGTTTGTTGCTTCTGTTCCTTTGTGGTTCATCTTAGGAAAGTATGCTTTGCACAAATGTTTGGAG